TATATAATCAGATAAATAATGATTAATAAATATTTATATATTCAGATAAATATCTATGAAATTTCATTAAAAAGAAAAAATTTTTTTCCTTGATTCTTCTTTCTTTTTTTAGATCAACAAATTAGTCAACTTCTTCAAAGAAGTATTTATCTTTCATATGAAGCATTTGTTAAGGAATTATCAATTGCTTGCAATTATAGTGAGAAAATAGCAAAAATACCAATAGATGTAAGTGGGAAAATTTAAAAAGATATTATGATACAGTAAAAAAATTTATAAAAATATATATTTATACAGTTTAGAACACCAGTTTATGGTCCTCTGGATCCAAATTTCACCGACTTTGCGGCACCTGGTGTTATTTTAACGTAAGTATTTATCAATAAATATTTGCTCTATATTTAAAATAATAAATATCTTTCTTTAAACAATCTTTTATTTTTAAAAATTTTTTTTATTCTATAAAACTTTTTATATTGTAGAATAATTTTCTTCTTGTCGGTTGCACTGGCCTCCGGTTCCTTATTGTTAGAAAGAAATGAAGGTCTTCTTGAAAGAAGTTTAGTTTCTGGTAAATAAATTTATTATGAATGAAAATAATTGAATATATCTTATAAAACTATTTTTTTACAAATAGGTCTCACTGGAACAGAAATTCTTTTTGGACAAGTTATAACTCAATTTACAGTTATGACAGGCCAATCTATTATGGTTCTTTTAGTTACATTTGTTGCTTTCGATATCACTAATGAAGGAAACATTGGTTGGATTGGTACATTGACTATTCTTACTGGATTATGTGGAATGTGTTTTGGTATGAATCATTTTAATAATAATAATTATCATTATTCATTAATTTAATTAAGTTTAATTTTTAGGATCTGTTATTGCTTGTTGTTGTGAAAGCGAAAGAACCGCTACATATCTTGCAATGGGTGCTTTTCTACCTATTGTAATGTTATGTGGAATAATATGGCCTATTGAAGGAATGGATCATGGATTACGATGGTTTAGTTTTATCTTACCTCTTACAAAGAGTACAGCTTCATTGAGAGCTATGTTAGCTAGAGGATGGTCAATTTCAGAGCCTACCGTTTACAATGGTTTTATTGCTACATTTATTTGGATAATCATTTTTATGACTTTGTCTATATTATTACTTAAATTTAAAAAAGGATAAAAACTTTTATTTAAAGTATAAATCAAATGATACATTAGATATTATATAAACGAATATTTTACGAAATTTGTTAACATATAAAAATTTAAAACATGTAATAAAATTATGCATATTGCGAGAAGAATACATAAAAATATGCTGAAGATGTAACACATTCTTTTTGCTCAATATGATTATCATTGAAAATGTGAATATATTATATATTTGTATAATATAATTATAAGTAGGATTCAAAGTATATGTAAAATTAGATTAATAATGTTTTTATAAAAATTTGAATCATTGATATAGAATAATCATACCAATGATCTCTTCCTTTATAAATTATAATAAATTTTGTTCATATTTTTTTATATTATATAGTTGTTATTCTTATATATTATTTTATTCTTATATAAATATATTTTATAATATAAAAAATTTTATAATATAAAAAAATGTACATACAATCAAACATAAAAAATAAAAATATACAATAAAAAAATTTACAAATTTTATTTGTATTGAAAAAATTTCACATAATTCATTAAACATTATAATCATTATATGTAATATTTTATGCAAATTTATATTTCATTTATTTTCATTATTTTATGGATTTTGAAGGACGTAAAAATTGTTCATGCAAAGTTTTATGGATTCTTTCTGCTTTTTGTAATCCAATACCAGGACAAAGAGCTAGTGTATTTGATTGTGTTTTTATTAATTCACTTAATGTTCCAAAAGTTGATAAAAGAGTTGTGGCATCTGTTTTATTAACTGATCGAATTGTTGTCAAAGCATTAACTAACTGAAAAAAAATATAATTATAATAAAATAAAACAAAAAAATCTTGATATACTGTTATTAATATATTATATATATACTTTTTGATATGGCGCTGTGTCACTTCGATCCATAATTGCATCAGGTGGTTTATTTTCATAAATTTTATATGTTTCAATAATTTTTCCTGCATCTTCTGGATTCCATGCTAACATTAATGTCAAATCTGCTAAAATACAAATCCTTGTTAAATGTTTTAAAGCATGATGAGGTTCTGGCACATCTACCTATATTTTATTAATGTATGTAATATAATTATATATTTATTATTACATATAATAATAATAATTGAAATAAATTAAAATAAACCTGTACTAAAAGTACTCTTAAATTATACATGTTTCCTAATATCTTCAAACGTTCATGGATATAGTCAGGATTAAGTTGATGATAACGTATTGATAAAAAAAGAGCACAAGTAGTTTTTCCCATAACATAATCTGGTATAATTTCGGAATATTCCCAAGGAACATTATTTACAAATTTCAATAATGGATTACCTTTCTATAAAATGAAATAATATCAAAAAAATTATTAAATAACAAAAAAAATTTATGTATATGTATCTTACTTGTTTTAAACTGACTAACAATGTACTAAATTTTGAAGAATCTTTGGCTTTAGAAGGACCAGGTATAGCTTCATTAAAAAATTCTGATTTTCTTAATTCGCTAAATGCAGCTATATAAAATAATTAAAAAATTAATATTTAATACATTCAAAATTAAAAATTTATTAAATTTAAATTAAAAAAAAATATAATATAATATAAAATATGATATAAAATAACTCACATTGAAAAGTGGAATCAATTTTAATTTGTTTAGGTGGAGAGACTTTTTCTTCAATTTTATCTGTGTTTTCCATATTTAATATTTATTTCTACTTTCTAAATTATTCTTATAACCTAAAATTCTTTAAGATTATATCATTTAT